CACCCCCACCCTTACAGACACACACAAATTACGCTCATATGTCCCTGTGCCCTCTAAGCCGAACAAACTCTCCTCAGATGAAGAAAAAACTAGTTGATACTGTATTGTGTTAAAAAGCAGTTTTTGTATGACTGTTAAAAGCTCGCGGCACCAACGCGGTCGTAACAGGGCAAGGCATACGACATACCAACCACATTGCGCGAGAATTTACTCTCCATCCAATCAAATACCTGAAACAGCAAGAACGCGGCGCGGACACGTTCACAGTCACGCCAATGTCACGCCACTACCAGACCAATCACATTGCGCGAGGGAAAAATAAATCGGCCAATCAAAATTCTAGATAACATTACGGTCGCGGCAAGGCACGCATGAGGCACTGAGCTTTTCATAGTCATAAAAACTGCTCTATTGAATATTTTACAGGGAAAATCTAGCGGAGAATTCGAGGAGRTATTTGCCAACTACGATAAGGTAATAGTATGATTTGAAATGTCAAAAAGTGGATTTCTTATAGATTTAAAATGYCAAGAGAGGATTTCCTGAATTGTTATTGGATTAGAATGAGCTTTGTTTCTGACAGACAGAAAGGAAGACATTTAGATACCAAATTATACTGTTTTTAAAGCACTCTGGTTGATTTTGTTTTTCAAATAGAATACAGAGAAAACGACTGAAAGAGTGCAAACAATATATCCGTGAAATATTAGTAATATCAACTTACACTATTTTATGCTAATTCTATTGTTTTCTTTTGTTTAACTAGCACTATTTTGAACAATTTAGTAATTAGTGTTTCACGGATATATTGTYTGCACTCTATTCCAAAACAACTAACATATTATTGAAATTATACTAGTCTTACAACATTAATATGGGTTTTTAGTCCTTAGACGGAGACGTCTGTGAGCAACGGTACCTTAAACATTATTCTATTCATCCATTATATTAGCATCATTCAAATTTTATCGTGTCTAAGCGATATTGTAGACGTTGAGTAACACCATGATACTTAAAACGGCACTGAAAGATTGCATCTAACRTAAAACTACTTTACTCTAAGGACAAGAATGGTACCATCGAAGGAGCGGAGCTAGCCAAGCTGCTGGCAGACCTTCTTGTCCTTGACGGAGATGGGGTAAGATAACTAGGGAACCGTTCTTTAATTACCGAAGGGGGGGGGTGTGGGTGGGGGACAACTTTTTGTCATTCAATGTTGTCGATGAACATCTATTTCCATTTAATAATAATAATATGACAAAAGAAATGGCCGCCACGTTGGTTGACATGTCAAAAGAATCAGACCAAATATTTCGTTAAACTCAACCAATAACACGTTACAGACAGCCATAAAATAACGAGGCCCTTTCGCACTGTTTTCTCAAGATTTGGGCCCTTTACATGAAATGACTCGGTGATATAAAGGTGATATATAATGAACCTTAAAGAATGGGCATTCCACAAACTTATTATCCCTTATTATTATCATTAGTCTTAATTATTGTTATTTTTAATTATTATATATAATAGTTATATCGAATGGGCATTCTACAAACTTATTATCCCTTATTATTATCATTAGTCTTAATTATTGTTATTTTTAATTACTATTGATAGTTAATGAAATTAATTTAATTAAACCGATTAATTGATTGATTAATTTATCATTAATATTTTTCCAGATTACAGAAGAAGACATGAACGAGTATTCCAACATCGTTCTGTCAAAACTCGATAAGAATAAAGACAAGAAAATACAGAAGTCTGAACTGAAGGAATTTCTCAAGATAGAAGATTAACAATCATGACATTTATTTAGTCTTCACTAAGAAGTTTGCTTCTTTTTTAATAATTTTTGGAATTGAGGGTTTGTAGGGATTACTTTTTGCAATACTGCACTATACAGCTGTATCAAAATTACAATTTTCACATTTACTTGAATAGGTTTAATGAAAATGACGTGTTGCATGCTTGCGTTCGTTTGAGCACCAATTTTGTACTTTCAATAATAAGTTATGGCATGTATTAAAGCGTTTATTAYAAACTTTAAAGCGTTCAATTTTATCAATTCCCTGAAACCACATCTGAGCTGATCACAGTCAGGACAAGGGCAGGGAATGTACAAATCGGAGGCGTGAGAGATGGTACACGGTACAACACAAAATACAGAAAGGAAGGATGAGGGAGGGAGGAAAGGAAGGAAAGAAAGAAAGAAGGAAAGAAGGAAAGAAGGAAAGAAGGAAAGAAGGAAAG